GTGAGACTAAGCCGCCATCTTGGGCCACGTCTCTGGGCATTTCATTTTGTTGTATGTATATGGGGTCGCCATGAGACAGAGCCAACTTGAGGGCAACTAAACTATATGCTTAGTGAAAGAGCATTACTTATGAGGCACAAAATATTTGTTTGTACAAAGTTTACACCTAATTTTCAAGAAAAGATTTTTTAAGTTTAGTTATATATAATTATATATATAATTCAACTGAGTAAAAAAAAAAACTGAGTTTAACTAAATGAGAAATACTTTCAAAACCCTTAAATTCTCTGATAAGCTTTAAAATACTTCCTATTCAAGGGTACTGTGGAGTCCAAGATACTGAAGGGTGGATTATAAAACACTGCTTGTATTTGCATGAATGCAATTCAGAAGAATATGAATTTAAAAGCTTAGACTCAAATGTTGATTATGATAATAAAGCAGGAGATATATAAATGTAAACTAGTGCTTCTCATTTAAGGAACCTACAAATTACTTTGGGTTTTTGGCAAAATACAGAATCTAATTCAGTAGGTCAGGCTTGAGATTTTGCATTTCTAAGATTCCAGTCCAGGACCACACTAATTAGGCACATTAGACTAAACTTCAGTGTAGTATCGTTCCCTCGCCCCTAAGGTAGATATTAAATCGAAGATGGGCCTTAAATTGGAAGAAATACACACTCTATCAAATCCAATTATTTTTCTCCATCTCTACTATCATTTTAATCTGAGTCACCCTTACTATTTCTTTCTTACATTACTGTAATAACCTCCTAACCAGTTTCTCAGCCTCCTGTCTTCCCCCCTCTTACCCATTCTCCACACTAAAGTACTAAGATAAACTCTTTAAAAACTCAAATCTGGTTATGTCATTCTGCTGCTTAAATTTTTCAGTAAATAAAGTACCAACTGCCCCTGCAGCCTGGGTAAACTAATCTCTAGCCACTTGTAGTGTAATGAATTACTTAATACGGCCTTTCTCGCCATGGTCTTGTAACTTTCACCCAGGTCATTGGGCAGGACTGTGAGATAAGGTAATTGTGGCCCACCAAGGTGATTGGTCAGTTTTGCCTTAAACGAGAGCCAATTCCAGAGCGCAGAGAAGGATTCTACCACCACCAAGGAATAACAACCAGGAGCAGAGAGCACATCCTTTGGACCCAGGGTCCCTGTGATGAGAAGCTCCTGGAAGCAGGAAACAGAGAGAGAGAGAGCAAGAGAGCTGTAACCTGTTACTTCCCTAATAAACCCCATAATTGTGAGTATGGTCTGTGAGTTCTGTGTGATCATTGCCACGAATCATTGGACCCAGCAGAGAAGTAGAGAATGCTGTGTGAGGGATGATTGGTTTCAGAATTAGTAAAGATGGCATAGAGAGGAGGCTTGTCTGGCCTCCACCTCATGGGAGTCAGCCTTGGGCTGTTGATCTTGGTTCTCCTTCCCCCTTATGAAATTAGAGGAGGTCAGATACTGCTACCAAGCCATTTTTATACCACTATGCCATCACCCACCTCACCCTCCTACACACACTCAAACCAGTTGCCACCGAGTTGATTCTGATTCATTGTGACCCTATGTGTGTCAAAGTAGAACTATTCTCCACAAGGTTTTCAATGGTTGATTTTTCAGAAATAGATTGACAGGCCTTTCCTCAAATGTGTCTCTAGATGGACTCAAACCTCCGACTTTTTGGTTAGCAGCTGAGTGTGTTAACCATTTGCACCACCAGGGACTCCCTCAGTATGCTACCCCTAGTGAATTCCTTTCAAATATCCTTCCTCTCAAATGTTTGCTCATTGTGGTCCTTTTGCATAAACCATCTTCCTAAACCCTGGCTAGCCTCCATTCATCCCCAGATTAGTTAGATCCACTGTACTTCCGTTATCATAGTACTTACTATACATCATTATTGCTTATTTGTCTTTTCTGCTCAGCCATTGGCTCAGTGAGAACAGTAACCCAATTTTTTTCTCTGCCTATTTCCAGTGTTTGGCACACCGACATTGTACATACCTCAATCAACTTGCATTCCAAATGCATTCATTAACATACTTACAAGGTGTCATGGATTGAATTGTGTCCCCCAAAAGTATCTGTCAACTTGGCTGGGCCATGATTCTCAGTATTGTGTGATTATCTAACATTTTGTCATATGATCTGATTTTCCTGTGTGTTGTAAATCCTAATCTCTGCCTGTGGTTAATGAGACAAGTTTAGATTGTTAAAGAGGACTAGGGTGGGATGTAACACCCTTACTTTAGGTCACATGCCTGATCCAATGTAAAGGGAGTTTCCCTGCGGTGTGGCCTGCATCACCTTTTATCTTACAAGAGATAAAAAGTAAAGGGAAGCGAGCATAGAGTGGGGGACCTCATACTACCCAGAAAGAAGCACTGGCAGCATAGCACGTCCTTTGGACCCAGGGTCCCTGCGCTGAGAAGCTCCTCAACCGGGGAAGATTGATGACAAGGACCTTCCTCCAGAGCCAAGAGAGAAGAGAAAGACTTCCCCTGGAGCAGATGCCCTGAATTTGGACTTGTAGCCTACTAGACTGTGAGAGAATAAATTTCTCTTTGTTAAAGCCAT